TAGTTTGGGTTTAAAAGCAAAGAAGAACCTACATGTGCAAAACTTGAAAGAAGGGGACAAAATTCAGTGTTTCTACCGATTAACTGTGGAATGTCACTCTGTTAAAATTTTGATGTATCTTGTGCTATGGGAATACAAGCTTAGCTGATTAAAATGATCAACAAGAGGGAACTTGTGATCTTGTCCAGGCCATTGCTGGCCTCTTCAGGGCCCGCGGACAAGCAGCACGACATCACCCAGACTTGCTAAGACACAGACAGCAGTGTGGTAGCTGGCAGAGGGAAGGGAGGGCAGGGCTGGGCAGAGGTGGGCAAAGGGGGAAAATTGGGGACATCTATAAGAGTGTCAACAATAACAGTAGTTTAAAAATGTGCATTCTCTGGCCCCACCCAGACTTCCTGAATCAGAATCTGTAGCTTTATGAACCCTCTAGATGATTCGGATGCTCAATGAAAATTTGAGACTCAGTGATCTAGGTCAGTGGTCTTCAAATCTCTTCGCTAGTTATGAGGACAGTTTATTTGGAATAAATAAGTTTTGAAGACCAATTAGTGAAAGTATCTAGTGACTCCGGTTAATTAGTAGGAGCTGTGGCTCTGGTTGAAATTCTCTTGGGTGCCCCTGGGTGGAGTTCCTGCAACTCCCCTGGCTCAGGTGAGGTCAGTTTACATATCAGTATTGGAGGCCCAGCCCCTCTCTGACAAATGGGCAGCTGAGTTCTGAAAAGGGAAGGGACCTACATTTGTTCCAATGATATTGCAACATCAAAATTTAAAAACTCATCCTGAGACCAGGGCTTTTGTAAATCAGATAAATAAATGCATGATCATTAATCCTATAAAAGTAGTTACCAATTGTTATCCTTCAGTGTTATACTTAAATACCTTTGGAAAGTGACTTTTAGTTCTGACTGGTGTGGCTCAGTGGGTTGGGTGTTGTTCTGCAAACCAAAAGGTTGCAGGTTTGATTCCTGGTCAGGGCACATGCCTGGGCTCCGGGCCAGGTCCCTGGTGTGTGCGAGAGGCAAACGGTCGACTCCCACTCTTAGTCCTTCTTTTCCCCCTCTCTCTAAAAATGAATAAATAAAATCTTTTTTTTTTTAAAGTAACTTTTCAAATTTTGGAACACAAATCCCATCAGTGAGATACTCCAGAATACTGAATTTTTGTTTGAAAGTCTCAAGAGGAAAACTTTTTATTTTAGGATTTATTGTGTTAGCCAAAAGAAAAGTGGGTAGAATACCTCGCCAATAGATTAAAGATCTTTGAATTTATATTTCTAGATGTAATGCACCAAAATATGGTATAGAAGTGTCCAAAGCACTTGGCTCAGATATGGACAAGAATCCTTATTTTATTATTTAAATGTAGACTATATGCTGGGAATACTTATTAAGTATGGCATGTGATTCCAGGTCTCAAATTAAGATTTTAAAAGAGCTGTTTCGTGCTTTGTGGTAACTTGGCATACTGAAATAGTATGTAAGGTGCCTATTCATTTCTGTAGAAATTAGCTGTTTGACATCTGTTGTGAACCCCTAGTGTGTGCTAGAATTATGTTTTCTCAAGGCATTACAGTTGAGGGCATAATAAATCCTTGATGAGAATTTCATGCTTCCAAAACACAGGGATATGACTTAGTTTATCCACCCAGTCAGGTTTTCTCTTTATTTTTGCTTTTTGGGAGAAGGCAGCTGTTGCACTTTCAAAGATTTTACTTTAAGTCACCAGAATCATGACTTGACTTGACTTTCCTGAGATCCAAATCCCAAAGTGGCAAACATAGTGAGTATATTTGACTTGCTACTTGTCTCATGTTGGCTGGCTTATTGCTAAACCCCCTAACATAAAAGCAACAACTTTGACCTCAAAGAAAACCATGAGTTTATTTGGCAACTTCCCCCTTCCCCCACCACAGCCCTTTGAACCTTCCACAGCATGGTGTCCATGTGGCTAAGCTTCCTACCCACAGGCTCTCCTGCTCCCCACATTCCCTTTCTCTCCAGACCGCTCCAGCTTTGCTGGTAAAGAGACCAGTCTGCTTGATCACTTGGGTGGCAGGTAGAATCTCAAGGAGTTGCAACTTCAGGTCAGCCCAGTGCTGTTCCCTGCTCTCTTGTGATATCTCGGTGGATGCAGAAGAGTTGGAGATTAAATGATGGCACCATTAGGTGAAGTTCCACCTCAATGGATGAATAATTGCCCTTGAAGAGTGATTAATGTAACCATAGAGAGAAGCGATGAACACAGAAGTTTCTAGATTCTCTGGATTCTCAGTACTGCACTGTTTCAGAATTCCTTTGCAAAGCCTCCAGGCCAAAAATGAAACTGAACAGTTTCTAACTATTTAGCAGGCAAGATCAAACAATTTCAGGAGTATGTATGTCCTAACAACTTAGCAGACATTTGAAATAGTAATACACTTAAATGAAAGAAATAATATTTTCTTTTATTCTCAAATAATCATAATCACTTACTGATCATATGGTAGGGTGCACCTGCTGAGCACTGCACAACTTTTCATAAGGGCGGACACTACCTCCCTCATTTTTTGGTCTACATTGATTTATTCACAGTGTATTTGCTTTTTATCACAGCAGCCATGGACATTCAGGTCCACAAAGATTTATTGTGCAAAGGAATGCAGCATGTTGAGACTCGGGCTACTTAGAGCTATTGATTCGTATTACTACCTGAGAGATGTTGCTATACTTACCTTGAAAATTTCTAATTTCGCCCTATAGTTCCCCAGGACACCTACACACACAGTCTGGGGACCATGGGTCAGATAGCATGCAATTCTCAATTGTGTCCCTTTTTTCCCCAACAGCTGAGTTTTGCAGGTGGGGTAGGAGATAACATTTGTTTCACGCTTGCTAATAAGCAGAATGGTTTCACATAAATATAAATATACCACAACCAGCTCATGAAGTGGGTGGTTCTCATTTCCCTCATTTCATTGATGAAAAGACAAGGACTGATAAAAATTTTTTTCCCTGTTGACACAGTTCGTATGGGCACAGGTAAAAGTCATGCTCCGTTCTTCAACTTTGAGTCCTAGGTCATTTTTCTTTGTACAGTATTTGATCTCTACCTCTATTGAGTTCAGAAATAAAATGAGAAATCACATTTGCGCAGAAAATGAGAATTATGAGCTGTGTCTGCCAACCTGCCAATCAGAAATTTAATGAGAGAGAGGAATGTAAAGATCAGTCTTGGCTGCAAGTGGCAGTTGCTCAGGCTTGGAAGGAATAGAAACAGCTTATATCCCTGTGTGTTAAAATTGCTTATGTTTAGTTGACAGGAAACTTAATAATAAACAATAATAAAGCTTCCAGTAATTTCATTTTAGGCTACATTAAGGTCAGTCTGATGTCTGCTACCAGGGAGCTGGTGATTCTGTTCTGCTCTCAGCTGTCTAGAAGCTGATACTTGGGAGCTATTTTTAAATTCGGAACCATGCCTATTAAACAACGATTGGAGGACCTGAGACTGTTTAGCAAGCAGAAACTGAGCTTTGGGAAGAGAGATGTGATAGGTGTCTTTATATCTCCACTTCCTAATATTTGAAAGAACATCTAGTGTGGCCCAGAGGGCAGAATTAGTACTTTTTAAGTGTGCTTATTAACAATAAAAAAGTAATAATAATATTTTTTTGTGTGGTTGCAACTACTCCAGGAGGCTGTAAAGTCTCATTATTGCAAATCCCTGCAAAAAAGACAAAAGAGGTATTAGATCACACAGTATGGCTTCTAAGCCCTTTCAATACTTAAATTCTATTTCTTGGGTTTTTTTTTTACTTGCTCATTTTCATTTCTTTGTAATTGAGCAACAGCTTTCAAAGTATCTATGTTTTAAATTTAGCTTGCTGTCTCACCGAACACTTTTCTTTCCAGAGTTGGTAAAATTTAAGCTTCCTTTTGGAAACAAGCATTTTTGTGGGTTGGCCATATGAGAGCTCATAGTTCTCCTGGGAAGGTCTCTGAGTGTCTGTTCTAGCTTTTAAACCCAGTCAATGTGCGCCTGTGGCCAGTATCTCTGGGAACCCCAGAGGGGCCTTTTACTCTGTGTGTGTATGTGTGTGTTGTAGTGATTCAGTAAATTTCCCAAATCAGCTTACCAATTCAGAATTTAAAATAAAAATAAGTTAGTCCTTAGGTACTTGTAGTTTTATCGTATTATTGTGTTGTCTGATCTTGTACTTGGAACAAACATTTCATGTAGTCAATGTTGCTGAGCTTTAGACACCATAGATGTGAATGGGGTCTTCTTCCCAGGTGATGTGAGGGCTTGTGGGCATTAGCCCACCTTCTCGATTCCTTGTGGGAACCACCTCTTTTAGGCAGAGGCTGCTGTGTCTTCCCCTTTGGGCTCTGTTGCTGCAGTTCAGCCTTTAGTAGACCGTCTGCCCCTGTGAGTCCCTTTCTTCAATCCTCTGCCTTCGCTGCCCTTCAAACACTGCCTCTATTTCTGGGGTGGAGTTGGAGAAGTCTTTCTTCTTTCTTCTTACTCTAGTCCTCTTTCTGTATTTCTCAAGCTCTGCCAACTTACTTTCCCTTCCAGGAAGGCAGATTTTATGAGAAATCCCCTTGTCAGCCCTAGGTTGCGAATGGTGCACGCCAAAGCAGGAACAGGGCCTGTGTGAGTTTTCTGATTTGCTGGGAAGGCAGCTCCTGAGGCCTCTGTAGCCAGCTTAACTGCCTGTATCTTCCAGCAGGGCACATGTATCCTTGGGGAGTTTGCATGTATGGCTCCCACTGAGCATAAATGGGCTGTGTTTTAAGTTAGTTTTGAGTTGTGCATTTCATCTGTGAAGTTGGCAAATACTTGAAAACCACAAGCTACTGTTTTCTGAAAGCTTCTTTGCACATGAACATAAAACGTATCTATTGAATTTGGAAATTTCTCAGCAACTGCCCTTTTCATGCAGCTAAATGTAAATTACAGCTGTTTCCTCCAGAAAGATCGATATAGTCATAGTTTCTCCTTCTTCTTTTACAGAGTGTCTCCTCTGCAGAAGTCTGAGATAGTAGACGTGGTTAAGAAGCGGGTAAAGGCCATCACCCTCGCCATCGGGGATGGTGCCAATGATGTCGGGATGATCCAGACAGCCCACGTGGGTGTGGGAATCAGTGGGAATGAAGGCATGCAAGCGACGAACAACTCGGATTATGCCATCGCACAGGTCAGAGGCATGGTTGACCCGGCTACTCCGTCCCGTGCACAGAGACATCGGCTGGGCGTGAAGGCCTGGCTGGTGTTGAGCCCATCAGTCCAGCCCTAAGAATTCTGCCACCCTCCTTGAGGCTGCCATCTAGGCGAAACCACCAGTGTGTCTGAATGTCTTTGTAGGCTTGATCTGGTATGGTTTATAGGCCCTGTCCTGCCAGTCAGGTTTCTCCTGGCTAGTTGTGGGTTGGCCAGGCTTTCTGTCAGCCAGGCAAGATATCATTCCTGACAGGTAGGTTTCTGCTCCTCCTAATAATAATCTCCTACCTTCAACTTATGCATCTGCTGCACGTGCTTTTCCTTCTACCGCCCTGTGCCAAAGAGCACTGTGGTCATGACATCTACTCTCTACAATCCCCGTGATGGCATCTCCCCTCTTTCAGAGGTGCTAGAACATTCTGTCACCAGGCATTTAAGATGAGGGGAAGGAGTGATTTACAGCTGTCATTCTCCCTGTAGCCGTGACCAGGGCACTGCCCAGGACCACTGTTGCGAGGTGACTTGCTGAGAGCATAAGCTGGTTTGGGGCCCTAAGTACCCCCGGATAAGTAGCAGACAGCCTCCTGCACTTAGGCCAAGTTCATTCCATTCCTCTCTTGATGGCATGCCCCATGCAGAGGCCCCCAATAACATTAATTACTGCACAGGTGGCCTGAGGATGAAAGAAATGTCTAACTCCTTAATGGTAGCCAAAAAGTGAAGGGTCAGCCAACCTCCTGGCCCCTAAGGTACATATCTAAGCCATTTGGCCTGAATGATTATAGAGCAAATGGAGATATGACAGCGAACACGGAATGTTTCTTCCCGTCTCCTGATTGCAGTATGTTTTGATTAAGTGCTGCTTGTTTGCAGATTAGCTAGAATTCCCTTCTGTTTCTTCAGTGTTCAGTCTTTTGAAGAATGTGTTAATCTTAATTATATGAACATAAGTAATAATGGCTTTTTCTCCCTCCACACTGAAATAAGGGGCCGCTTATAAAACAGGAAAGAGCTTCCAGCCACCCCAGGGTTTTGCAGGCTGATCCTCTGCAGCTTTGGGGTTCCACCTCCCCAAAGGAGGGCTCTGCACTAGATCACCTCTCGGATTCCCTCCCAGCTGGTGGTTCTGCAAACTCAGAGAGGAATTACAAATCCTCATGACTCTGAAAAGTGCATGAAATCAATCTTGTTCCTTTGTTGATTTCAAATAAATCCTCAAGATAATTGCTGGAAGTAGGTAGAAGGAATTCTGATTTTACAGGTTGGAAAACTGGAGCCCTTTCAGGTGACCTGCCTCAGGTCCAAGCATCCAGGGTCAGAGAACACCAGACCTGCATGTGACCTTGGGGACCAGCCCCGCACACCTGCCCATTTACTTTTCTGAGTCAACTACTCCAAGGCCTGGGGGACTCACACTTCCTGTAGTCTGTCAGCGAGTGTGGATGTTATACACCCCAGCATTATTAAATACTTGAGTTATAGCATCATATGGCTGGGAGGGACCTTTAGAGGTTTCCTAGGAGTTCTAGGCAAATATTTGTCTGTCTTTTTCTTTAAAATGTCTAGGGAAGGGTGATTCCATTACCTGGTTTATTGAAACTGCGTATTAATAGGATACGGAATCTGGAGCAACTGCTCTCTTCAAATTAAAAGCATCAAAGAAAGCTAGAGAGGGGAGCAGGGCTTCCTGACTCTATCTAAGGGTTTTCTTGCCCTTCCAGCATAATAGTCACTCCTGCCAAAGCACCTGATGAATGGCCCCCGTGTCTGTAGGTCTTCTTTTCTCCTTTCCGTGGTCCTCTTCATAATTAGGCAGAGGTCCCATTATGTTAGGGCAGTGTTCCTCTGTGCCTTACAGTCTCCCCCCCTAACAGTATGCTCCTCTATAATCACTGAGAGGGAAAGGCCACAGTTTGATGAATTTCTTTGCCCCTAGTGAAATGATAAATATCTTTGGTTGAAGTTAACAGCTTGTCTTTATCTGTTTATTTTAATGTGGCTGAATCCATCATGATTGGGTTTTCGAGAAAGTACCCTGAAGGATTATATACAGAAGAAGAAAATTTAGCTTAAAGGATTGTCCTTGGAAAAACTAGGAAGTAGGCAAAGCTCTGGATCTACCTGTTTCCAGGTGCCTGTGCTCTTGTCCATGGGGCAGCTCCCGAGATGGACCCAGTCCCCTGATTTGCTGCTTTGCCCAGGGGCAGCCTGTGCCGGTGCCAGGAGCTCTCAGCAGCCTTTTCATCTCAGGAGAGAATCGTTCCTGCCTCTACCTTCCTAATGTTTTCTGAACGACCTCATGAAAACAGCATTTTAATTTAGGATTTTCTTTTCCTGAAAATAAATCATTGTATCACTAAAGTTGAGCATTTGGGATGAGTGCAGCAGATATTCTCTGTACCCATTGAAGTGTGACATCAGGGGTCCGAGTTGAATACAAGCTTCCTTTTTATTTGTCTAGCTAGTTCTTTTATGATTCCCCAGTCCCCTTGGGAATCCTTAATAGGCCTTTATAGGCAGTTTTATTTTTCCATAAGCATCAACTCCTGCCATTTCGAAGCGTCATTTAGCTTTTGGAGTACACAGGTGAGGGACCTGCCTCACCCTGATCTCTCAGAAGAACTCATTGAAAGATGATGTCACATCAGATTGAGTCCCCTTCTTTAGTGCTAATGGAAATTATTATGTGGTTCCTTCTTGAAAATAATGTATTTTTTAAAAATGTTGTACCTAGGCAGTCTTTTCTACAGATAGTTAAGTTTGATTTCAAAAATAATCTGAAATTAACAGGAAGTTTATAATAGCAAATGAATCTCTAGTGTTTGTGTGCATGCTCAACACAACCTGGTGATCTCTTTAGGAGAGTGGTGGGGTTTGAGCTTGCAGACTGCCCTGTGACTCAGAACAGGGAATTAGGTTTTAGTTCAAGGCAACTGAGGGGTATTTGATGTTGGCGTGAGGCTCACAATGTACAGCAACTGTAAATTGAAACAGAATCATTCCTAACAGTGCATTCACTCCAGAGCACAGTACAATCCACAAAACAAATAAACGAAAAAACACCTCATTTCCTTCCCTTCAGCTCAGTGTTCACACTTTCTGGGACCTTCGTGAAATAGGACACAGAAGGCCAGGCCAGGCTAAGGGGAGGCTGAGGAGACATGATCGGGTGGTGCTCAAAGACCCCATGCCCACAGAGGATTCAAATATCTTATTGGGATATTAGGATATTGCTGTGTATTTCAAATGTGAGAGCCATTACATTACTCTCAACTTAGTATATTAACTCCTTATTGGTTTTTGTTTTTCAGGACTGCATAGCGCTCTAGTAGAGATGCTCTGTACTAGTTGGCAAAAAAAAGGAGAACAAAATGGGTGTGGAAGTGGAGGCAGAGGGTGTGTGTGTCCCTGTGTGTGTGTGTTTGTGTGTCCGTGAGTCTCTGTGTGTCTGTAACTATTTGTAATGTGCAGGCTGACAGTGGAAATAGGTTGTGTATATAGGTGTATCCCCTTTTTCAAAAGGGTGCTGTTGCATGAGCGACATTATCCCTTGTTTCTGTTGTCACCATGAAATCTGTGATTGAGGTGTCTGATTCACATTATGCTTCTTTTCCACTTCAGGTGTTCGTCTTCTTCTAATAATGAAGATGCTTTAAAAGCATTTATATACATAGAATTTCATGAGAATAACAATTAGGAGTCCAGCTTCATATTTGGGGGAAATTATAATTATGTGGATTTGAGGGATTTTAGCTCTCCTTACTGGGCCTGAAAGCTTGGCCTTTCATTTTTTTAAGTGAATGGTTTTCTCTATTACCTTATCTGTCATTTCCTTCAAAGGGCATTCTATGACTTTTATTCCTAAATGATGGGTTCCTCTGAACTTTCTTTATTTTCTTTTTTCAGTTTTCCTACTTAGAGAAGCTTCTGCTGGTACACGGTGCCTGGAGCTACAACCGGGTGACCAAGTGCATATTGTACTGCTTCTACAAGAACGTGGTTCTCTACATTATTGAGGTAAGCCCTTCCTTGATGAGGAAGGCCTTCTCCAAGGGGTGCCTTCAATGTTTTAAGCAACTTAAGGGAGGATTTTACTAATGTAAAATTAAAGAATAGGTGCTGCTGCTACGTATTGAAACCTGTGTCACATGTAACCTCTTTGAAGCTGGGCACATCTTCCAGATGTAGGTCCTCGTGCTAAGTAACCAAAGCCAGGAGGCAGCAGTGCTTCTTCGCTGCTACTATAACCCCCGGTCCCCCGGCCCCGGCTCCCCCTCACGCCCTGCCAGCTGTCCCTGCCTGGTGGAGGAAGGCTCTCTCCTTCCAGTGTCCCTCTCTGCCTGAGTAGATGCTGCTGTCATTCACAGGGTGATCAGAGCCTGACAGCAGTGTTCACACCTTTCTTAATGGCACTGAGACCTTTCTAGGCAATCCAGTCGGTTTTTTCTTTACCAGAATGAAAGGGCCTGATTTCTTGCTATAGTTCTCATGGAATCCTCCTGTTTCCTGAGCATTTACTCATTGCTTTTGGGATATTTGGGCACAACTACTTAACTGGGGCAGGTGTGGAGGTGAGTGGAGAGTAAACCAATAAGGCAATTTAAAATCCTTCAGTGAAGTCATGGAGTTGTCCAGCTGTGTTTCATGATGCAGATTCAGTTATAAGTAAAATAAATGTGCTTGCTAGAGGAATTAGATGGGGAGAGGGGTGGGCCCAGGAAGAAGTGGAAAAGGCACTTTGTTTGCTCTTAGTGGGAGTACCAGCCACCTCATTCCTCCTGTAAGAACAGCTCTGTTACAGAGGTGCGGCTTTGAGGCCTTCATGACTAACAGATTTCCAAATGTGTTCAGAGAAGAGGAAGCAGGCAGTCCCTCTATGGAGAAATAGAAAAGCAATGTTAATTGTGTATGGTGTTAATATCTCATTCTACTATGAATTATTTTGTGTTCAATTTCTCAGCTCTTGGGCTATTTTGTGTGATTTCTCAACTTGTGGCAGAAATAATAACCAAGGCATAGATCAGCTTTTTCTGATGTGGTCCCTTAAAATACTCAGCTCAGGTAATTTAACAAGTAGTTTGCTGTGACTAACCATTTCTTTGCCAAATTGTCTACTTTTTTTTTTTGACTATTCAAGTCAAACATATAGGTTCATATCATTCACTCTGTAACTAAACTACTCATGAGTTGTACAGATTGTTCACTGCACAAGCCTGCCCAGTCAAATGTGATAAATGGGGCTGAAATGAAGGAGAACCTGTAAAAAGAGATGCATTTTCCTAATTTGTACAAAGGGCAGCCCACTTGCCTTATCTGCTTGTCTTGTGCTGTAATATTCCACTCAGTCCACTCCAAGTAAGAACTTTTAGATGTTATGTCTAACAGACTCTATAGTTTCTATCTTCTTCCTATTCACATTTTTACAATTTCCTTTTAGCCTTTTAAAGATGTTTGCCCCCTCTTCCTGTGGCATTTCTTGCATTTGTGATAAAAGTCACTCCTAAATGTCACTATGGATCGTTGAGTATTAGAATCCCTATTCCCACGCATCATCCCAAGTTTCCCATGCATTTTAAGCTCCTGTAGCTGTTGGCTTCACCAGGTTTCTTAATAATCTGGTTTTCCTCACAATCAGCAAATTACAGATAGTCTAGACTTCTTATCAAGACATTCTGCATGAAGCTCCTAACCTTTCAGCTGTCCAGAGCATCCTCTGGGGCCTTTCTTAGTCATTTACACCTACTATCTTGTCTTTTCTTTTTTTTAACTTCAAGTGGGCCAAAGATGAGGAGTGCAATTTTAGTCTGTCTGAGAAATTCTATTTGGAACAAGGCCCTGAAAATGCTATTTGAATTCTTTAAGTTAATTTTTCAGTTTTAGCTGGGCAACAGTTGCAAACTGGTCTTGTGTTAACAGCATTTAAAAGCACTCTTTACAAGATTCAAAAATAAATAAATCAAGGAAAAGCCTCTACCACCCTCTGCCCAATTCTTTAGTTAATGTTCCTCAGATACGTTAATTTGAAAACCAAGACAATGAAATGCGGCCGGAGCCCCCGCTGTGCAGGCGCGGATGCGGCCGGGTCCGTCCGTCATGTCCAGAGAACCCCTGCGGCACCGACACGCTCTGCCAACATCATTTTAAAACTAGGGAAGTCCAGACTCCTTCTATGAGGCCAGCATCACCCTGATCCCAAAACCAGATAAAGACTCTACAAAGAAAGAAAACTACAGGCCAATTTCGCTGATGAACATAGATGCTAAAATCCTCAACAAAATATTGGCAAACCGCATCTAGCAATACATTCAAAAGATTATCCACCACGATCAAGTGGGATTCATCCCAGGGATGCAGGGATGGTTCAATATACACAAATCAGTAAACGTGATACAGCACATCAATAAAAGACAAGACAAAAACCACACGATCATCTCAATAGATGCAGAAAAAGCATTTGACAAGGTACAGCACCCATTTATGATCAAAACACTCAGCAAAATGGGAATAAATGGGGCATTCCTCAACGTAATAAAGGCCATATATGAAAAACCTACAGCCAATATCATACTCAACGGGCAAAAACTGAAAGCTTTCCCACTAAGATCGGGAACACGACAAGGATGTCCGCTCTCACCGCTTCTTTTCAACATCGTATTGGAAGTCCTAGCCACAGCGGTCAGACAAGAGAAAGAGATAAAAGGCATCCAAATAGGAAAGGAGGAAGTAAAACTATCATTGTTTGCAGATGACATGATAGTGTACATAGAGAACCCTGTAGACTCTACCAAAAAACTCCTCAACCTAATAAGTGAATTTGGCAAAACAGCAGGATACAAAGTCAACATTCAGAAATCAAAGGCGTTTTTGTACACCAGCAATGCAATAGAAGAAGAAGAAATCAGAAAAAATATACCATTCGATATAGCACGAAAAAAGATAAAGTACCTAGGGATAAATTTAACCAAAGACACAAAAGACCTGTATACAGAAACCTATACAACATTGAAAAAAGAAATTAAGGAAGACACAAATAAATGGAAGCATATACCGTGCTCATGGATTGGAAGAATTAATATCCTCAAAATGTCCATACTACCCAAAGCAATTCATAGATTCAACGCAATCCCTATTAAGATACCAATGACGTATTTCACAGAAATAGAACAGACATTTCAAAAATTTATATGGAACCATAAACGACCCCGAATAGCCGCAGCAATTTTGAGAAAGAAACACAAAGTAGGAGGGATCACAATACCGGACATCAAACTCTACTACAAAGCCACCATACTGAAAATCTGGTACTGGCACAAGAACAGACCCATAGACCAGTGGAACAGAATAGAAAGCCCAGAAATAAGCCCAGGTCTCTATGGACATCTAATATTCGACAAAGGGGGCAGAAGCATAAAATGGAGCAATAACAGCCTCTTCAACAAATGGTGTTGGGAGAGCTGGACGGCTATATGCAAAAAATTGAAATTGGATCATCAGCTGACACCATACACAAAAATAAACTCAAGATGGATAAAAGACTTAAATATAAGTCGCAACACCATCAAAGTCCTCGAGGAGAACATTGGCAGGAAACTCTCAGATATCCCACGCAGCAATTTTTTCACTGATATGTCTCCTAAAGCAAGGGACATAAAGGAAAGAATAAACAAGTGGGACCTCATCAAAATAAGAAGCTTCTGCACAGCAAAAGAAAACATCAGCAAAATGAAAAGGGAGTCAACGGTATGGGAAAATATATTTGCTAATGATACATCAGATAGAGGTTTGATCTCCAAGATATATAAAGAACTCACTCGACTCTACGCCAAGAAGACAAACGATCCAATCAAAAAATGGGCAAAGGACCTGGGCAGATGCTATTCTAAGGAGGAGATACAGAGGGCCCAGAGGCATTTGAAAGGATGCTCAGCATCGCTAGCCATCAGAGAAATGCAGATCAAAACCACCATGAGGTACCACCTCACACCGGTCAGAATGGCCATCAGAAACAGATCCACAAACAACAGGTGCTGGCGAGGCTGTGGAGAAAAGGGAACCCTAGTCCACTGTTGGTGGGAATGCAGACTGGTGCAGCCACTATGGAAAGCAGTGTGGAATTTCCTCAGAAAGCTGAAAATGGAACTGCCTTTTGATCCAGCAATTCCCCTGCTGGGACTATACCGTGAGAACACCAAAATGCCAATACAAAAGAACCTATGCACCCCAATGTTCATAGCAGCACAATTTACAATAGCCAAATCTTGGAAGCAACCTAAATGCCCATTAGTAGATGATTGGATCAAAACATTATGGTACATATACACAATGGAGTACTACGCAGCAGAAAGAAAAAAAGAAGTACTAAACTTTGCAACAGCATGGATGGAACTGGAGAGCATCATGCTAAGCGAAATAAGCCAGGGGGCGAAAGACAAATACCATATGATCTCACCTATAAGCGGAACAATGCAAAGATGCAAGGAAAATATGACCAGCAACACTGAAAGGAAAAGAAATCAACAGAGACAAGGGGGGGGGGCAGGGAAAGGGAAGTGAAGGGGAAAGTCAAGGAACATATAGCAAGGACTCATGGAAAAAACCAAAGGGGAAGAGCTGAGGGAGGGAAGGTGGGAGGGGGCAAGGGAAAGAAGGGGGGAGAGGCAGAGACAAATGTATTTAAAAAGTAAATAAATAAAATAAAATAAAATAAAATAAAACTAGGGAAGTCCCTCTCGCTTGCTATTTTACTGTGTTTTGAACTAAAAGATCAAAGATTGTAGTAATTTGATTAGCTCATTTGCAATGAAGAGTTTCGTGTTCTGAGGGTTTTATAATTGAGAATAAAATATATTATTTATTTCTCTTAAATGGTTTTCAAATGGTTTATTGCAAACTCAAGGAGAAACTGTTTGCAATGGCTGCTATGTTCTCATCTCAAAAGTCCTCTGATGTATGTAACTATCAGTCATTTTCTAAAACAGCCTAAAAATAATTTGGCAAATTAAAAAGATATGCATGTA